CAGCGTGACGCTATTGTGGGCTCGCAGGTGGTTCAAGAGTTTACAAGCCTTGATGCCGTTTTAAAAGGCTCTAAGGCCTTTAACGCGGCCTGAATGTCCGACCTAATATTTATTCTGGCCTCATTTGCCTTTTACGATGACATTCGCGAACTCAGACTTCGATTGGGAAGACCTCCGCCTGAAATATGGTTGAGTACGAGCCCATTGGCAGACTTTTCTGGAATCTTGGTCCAAGTACGCCATAAATTATATCGCTGCCTAAAGGTGAAAAGATGCCAAGTCAATTTTTTTTCAAAGTTTAGTTTTTGATGCAGAATGACAGGTAATACGAAACTACATCGAGTTTTCGTCTCTCCTGAAGAATTCCAAAAAAATGGACTTGGCACCTTTTCACCCTTAAGTAACGATATATGGATGTTCGTATTGCATATTGACAATAATAGGGTATACGTTTGTAATTAGGAATCAGGTATATTTACATGTTTGTGGTCGCCATTATACGAACGCACCGGTGAAATATTTGTTTAAAAAAGGTTGCTAAAATGTTTGGAGATACGCACATATTTTCTATTTTTCGCAAATAATTATTACTCATTGTCCCGAAACCTACCAAAATCCAATCAAGCCTACCATCCTACCAAATGGAAAAAAAAACCTACCGGTTTTGGTAGGCTCATGTTTGGCAACACTGAACAGACACCTAACGGGACTTATATTATATATTATATATGTATGCATTGGTATAGAAAAAATGTCTACTGAACTCGAATTGGCATCTTAACCCCAACTTATACGGCCACATGGATTCACACTTGCAAAATTATTATTATTGCCGCTTATCTCTTTTCAAATTGCTTATAAGAATTTGATTTCTCCTGTTACTTATCATAACTTATGCACTTCAGCCTTCCTTTTATAAAATTCTGATTTGATCTTAATTTCTATATGAAAAGTTTTCGTTAGAAATTTTTTTCTCCAATGCCTACATAGATTTAAAACACACGACGAGTCGAGAAATATAACAGCTGATTTCGAAACTTTGCAAAAAATCTCCATAATATGAAGATTTTTGCACTGAATCTATTCTGGTCGAGGATTAAATTTTACTTTTTTTCATTCTCTAAAAAAAACCTCAAAAAGTACCAAATAGTAGCGCCAATCTGGTTGTTGTTGTTGTTGTTTTAGCGGCTACAACAACCCCGCCCAGAGCGGTTAGTCCCTCAATCGTTGTCGTCAAGCTCAACTAGCGGTAGCCCCAGGAAGCGTGCAGCCTCGTTGGGGTATGTCCATTGGGACGGCGGTGGGCTAGTATCTCAGTCGTTGTCAAGCTTAACTAACGGAAGACCCAAGAAGCGTGCAGCCTCTATAGGACCTGTTCAAAGGGATAAACGCGTTAGCTGTGTGGGGATGTTTCGATTCGTGGGGTGCCTTTTCGTATGCCGGACATACATTTGGCACATCTGCATCCAGTCTGCTCAGGTATAAGTTCAATCTACTGCAGTAGCCAGAGCACAGTTGGGCTATTGTGGTCCGAGTTTCTCAAGGCAGACGAAGTTCCGTCTCGTCCACGTCAGGTGATCGTGTGCCCAGAACAGCATTAACAGATCTGGAGTCTACGTAACTTGAGACTGACTCCCTGTGAATGCCGCTCAGGGCCGACCACCGTTTGAGTCTCTGTGGGAGCGAAGAGGCCTCTATGTCTTCTAACAGCGTATAGTGGCTGACGGTATCAAACGCTTTTGAATAGAATAGTTCTCTCACAGGGGCGGTTGCGGTTTAGGTCACGTGTCATCTGAGTGTTAATGGCTGATGCTTCGCTGGGGTCAGCTGGTTCCAAAAATGCGGGAGTAGCAAGGCCTCTAGTAAAGAGTATTCCCCTGTTTTAGCATTGGGACCACTCTCCTCATCTTCCAGATGTCTGGAATGACGGAGAGCAGCTATTGACAGGTTGAGAACCTTAGCTAAATAGTCTACTCCCGCAAAACCCAATTTTTTCAGCATCAACATGCATATTCCGGCGGTTCCCATTGCTTTGGACGCTTTCTCCTTCCCAATGGCTACCTGAACTTCCCGCAAGTGAAAACAAGACGCGCACTTGTTGTTGGCAGTTTGTGCAGCCTTCTGGTCACTCGACGTTTGGCTTTGTCCGCAGGAGGATGCAGTGTAAATTGCCGGCTAAAATAGCTCGCTCATCGCTCCGGATCCGACGAACCGAGGTCGCCGCAAGATATTTCGACTCTGTCGTCGCGCTTTGTCGGATTGGACAGTGATCTCACGGTTTACCAAAGCTTACTCACACCAGAGGTGAAGTTACAGGTCTTCAGATGCTCTTCCCACTTCTTCCGCATATGTACGTTTACTAGTTGCCGAATCTCCGCGTTGAGATCCCTGATACGGGGATTGCTGGGATCGGCCTGACGAAGGCTGTCGTGGTTGTGGTATGGTCTATTGTGTTGTGTTGTGGTGCTGTGGTGTTTGTGTTGAGCTGCTCAGGCGGACTGAGGTTTGTCATGGAGGCAGCTCTGTTTGAGCAACAGAGGGCCACAAATGATGTGGTCCACTTTCGATGAGTCCGTAGGCCTGAGCAGACTCTGAGGTACTCCACCCATTGCAAGCATTGCCCTTGACTGAGGCGGAGTTGTGGTGTAGTCGTCTCTGGCATACACAGCAGGTTAAGTTTCTGGACCAGGGTTTGAGTCGATGACAGCCCTGAGCAGAAGGATACGTAGCAGATGTAGTCCTATGGACGAACGACGTCCGAGATATTGCACCGACTTAAACCGAGTTAGATCGCCGAAACAACAGCCCTTGGTCGGGTAAAACTCGATTCATTCCGGTGCGTAGAACCGGCTGCCGCGGTCGTTTTAGTTTGTTAGAAAATTGAATGTATAATCTAGGGGTAGGGGTAGGGGTGCGTTACGCTGCGATTGTGTGCTTAGTGGTCGCTCTGCCCGTGTACACATTCGCATTCGCAAAATATTCGTATCATTTGATGCGAATGCAAATGTCGATGCGAATATGCTAAATGATGCGAATCATTCGTATAACGATGCGAATGAGAATATTCGGAACATCCCTGATCTACATACACTGTCGGCAAAAAGTATTTGCACTGCAAATTTTTCATATTGCAAAAATATCTGCAAAAACTGTTTTCCTAATATTTTTCCGCCAATTTTTTGTAAAAGCATGGTTTATTCTACAGCAAAAAAATATATAATTCCTTAACTTTGTACAAAACTCGCGAAAACTTAGCGAATTTTCAACGTTTTAATCAATTTTTTTAGAGTATGAAGTTTTGCAGCCCATTAGTTTCTGGTAAAAAAAATGCAAATTCAGAGTTAGTCAAGAATGGCATTGATTTTTGTGAATTTTTTTTTTTGTTGGAGGTGTTTTATATTTTTCCCACTAAAAGATGTGTGATGAGGAAATGTGGCGATATCCGAAATAGCTATCACTTCTACCATTTTTTTTTTTTAATTATTGTTGCTTTTCCACAATAGTTTTTCATTCAAAAATAAATAAATATGGAAGACTGCGTGAAAAAAAATTCAAAAATGAACGGTAATTCCTAGCTACTTAAAACTAGTACAGTATATTTTGCTTTGCTGCCTTTATGCTTAAGTGCACATTTAAGATACCTACCCTAAAATGCGCATTAGTGGCATTATTTTTAACATTTATAAGGAAACTCCTCCGATATATGCATTCAACATACCTGCACATTGGCGATACCTGCCTTAAAAACTGTGCAACTATTATCAATTATCAAAGAAAGTATTACGTTTACCTGCACTGGCCCTACGATTATCTAATTTTACAAGCTTTTATTTATTTTGCTCATCTCGCAAAACAACGAAAATGGCTATCAATTAATGTAATTATATAGATAATTAGATACCATTCGGTAAAATTTTCGCTTGCAGTAATTTCTACGTGGTAAGTGCTTCTCCATTATTTGGTTTCATAGGGATTCGGATACCTTCCTCATTGAAGTAGTAAAGAAAATTCGCTTAAGTGCTTTTTTCGGTTAAGTGCACAAGTATTTCGTGCAAAGAAAGATGGGCAGCTAAGCAAAATATACTGTACTTTATTATAATAAAATTGATTGATTGATGAAAAAATCTGATTAACAAATTGAAATTTGCATGAGAATTTGCTGAATTTTCTTGAGTTTTGCACAAAGTTTAGGAATTATATTTTATGTTTTCTGTTGTAGAATGAACCATATTTTTATAAAAAATTGGCGGAAAAAAATAAGAACAAAAATTGTTGCAAATATTGTGAAAAATTTGCTGTGCCAATACTTTTTGCCAGCAGCGTAGATATTTGAGGCATCAAAATGAATCTTTGAATGTTGCGGCAACATACTATGTATCAACATATTCACACAACTCATTTATTTTCAACATTTTTTTATTTACCTTTCAGCGCCATACAATTGTTGTTACGTACAACAAATTTGGTAAAGAATTCAAAACAGGTAATTTGCTAATGAATATACAAATAATGCCTGCGTTGTACTGGCAAGACAAATGAAGTGGAGGGGGTGCTTATAGACTGGGACATGCAAATTAATTCTAAATGGAAAGACGGAAAACAAGATTTTTTTTGCCGGGTAGTGATCGTTGGCGTGCTGGATAATGTAACGCGCGTTGTTAAAAAATTAGGTTCAATGGCCTTATTTCAGATAACTTTCCGTGGGCAAAGGAGGGAGCCAGTGACGAAATATGAAGCATATATCAGCGGCTAATTTTTCTACGCCAAAGTTTGTGTGGGTGTGTTACAGCATTTAAGTTATTTTTTGTGTTGTTGTTTAGTGGCTTTGTGTACAATGTCAATGCACTATCGTTGTAAATAAACTAAACATGCACAACTTAATTAAGCAAACGAAATGAAAATGAAAACGTTAATGAAAATTAGCGTAAAAACACAAAAAACAAAAGCAATTAAATAGCTACTAAGAAGCAAATAAATACAACAGGTGCTCGTTTGCTTACGCATTTTCCCACTTTTTCAAGGAGATTTTAACTAGCTTTGCGCTAAATTTTCACTACAATCACAATTTACTATTTAATAAAGGCGATTAATCATCGAACTGGAAATACACTTGTAGTTTCCTTTTTTCAGAAAGCTCTATCTATACGTTCTTTGTTCCTTGATCGGAGTCACCCTCTAGTTTCAGTCTTAAATTCACATCACAATTTTAAACCACTACTTATTTTATGTTTTCACATTGCACCAAAATTGCATGTTATTTGTTAAACGAATGTTTAAAGATAATTCTCAAATTTAATAGAAGCTTATAAAACCACAACCGAATCAGTGCAAGTCGCGTCAATTTTTAATTTTTCTTTTCTTTTGCTACCAGGTGGGGAGAAAGAAGAAGAATAAGTCAACACGGTTGCCAAGCTCTTAAATAAATTATGTTATCTCAGCATAATACCGTCTCTAAACTAGAGCGCTATGCGTTGAGTTTTCTAATTGCCAACACCAGTGCGAACTATGGCCAAATAAGATAGATAAAGATAAAGATAAAGTTCCTGCCAATTTTTAATCCCCTTTCGCATTTTGCACACCCTTTTCACAGGTAAACTGTTCTTTTGCTCACCCGCCCAATTTGTGTTTCTTTGGAATCACGGCTGTTGTTGTTGTTGTAGCGGCTACCAACGCTGTGACAAGAAGTGGTGACATTAATTGTGTTTCTTTGGAATCACGGCTGTTGTTGTTGTTGTAGCGGCTACCAACGCTGTGACAAGAAGTGGTGACATTAATTGGTGATAAAAGAATAGACCTGCTAGTAAAGGTTATGATCCCCAAGCACGGCCGAAGACCGTCTACGCAGAAAGAAGTCCTGCACAAAAATATTTAGCTTTATGAGTTTCATTTTCCCCGAACCGTTTCACTTTAATTTTTTGTTTCCATTTACTATGGCACATGAAAAACGTTAGTTCCATTATTATGGCATAAATTTCAGCTTTTTGTTTTCGCAACATTCCTAAGTGTCATTTAAAACCACCTTTGAAAAGTATATCAAACGGCGAGATTTATAAACCAAAATGTCATCGGGCATGAAAGGGTTAAATAGCGTTTATTTAAAAACTCATGGTGGAATGATACAGATATACAGATACAGCAGATACGTCGGTAAAGTAGTTTCCCTGCAAACCAAAGTTCCCGAAATCTTAACGAAATATTTAGGACTATCTCATTTCTGTAACGATTCTTTTACGCATATTTAAAGAAACTTCCATTAAGTGGTTGACATGACAAAAATCTGGAAGAAATTCTTCCATTTTCGCCTAATAATTTTTTTGTTATTCTAAACTTACGTCCACGTTTTTATTATCGCTTCCTCTTTCACTTTTTTGTCCGTTTCCTTTCTTTCTGTCTTCGGCGCCCCACTTCAACATGTAAGTCAAAATTAATATTCCATTTGCTCGGTGTTAAGGCCGCTTTATTGTAGGATGCTTCATACAAATTGTATGGGTGTTTGGATTTTTGAAAGTTTTTCGACGCTCGGAGCTGAAGCTTAAATGATCTATGCACTGTCATTCTATTTGACATGCTTCAAGTATTATCTTACAGTCAAAGCAGTCAATGCGAATCTGTCATGTAACGTCAAGTAAAAGATTTATCTAACATGGTTTTAATTTTTTATACGCCGCTTCGAAAAAAGTGTTTATTTTTTTCAGTGTATAATGAATTCCATAAGTTTGTAATTCACAATAGACTTGCAATGTCATTAAACCGCATTTTCGCTCTTGGAGTAGGTAGAATTCTGGCCCCTTCATTGCACCATCCAACCCAAAGATTGAAGATGCCTTCGCTGGAGGAGATTATAGCAAACAATAAGCGGAATGAGGAAATCATAAGATCCATCGCTTCCGAGGTAAAACGCTGCTTACAAATAAATTAACTATTGATCATATAACAAAAAACTTGTAGCTGGTGGCGATGCGCGTGGAATTAATGGCGCAAAAGAAACAACAATTACGCCGAGAAAACGCTTTGCTAATGCACCAAGTTGAGACGGCCCAACAGCAACTCATAGCCCTAGAGCTAAGCCACGGTAAAAAACAAATCCCATTGCCCAATACTCGCGGTCTTTGCACGGCAGCCGACGCTACTCCGAACACTGAACCGTCTGTAAAAACTGCTAAGGCAGCACCTGTTGAAACTCCACAGGCGGACCAAAAGCAAACTCCGCCAAAGGAAAAAAAACCAAAAAAAGAAAAGATTGCAAATAACGCCAATACGAATGCCGCTTCTGAACTTCCGGTAGATGTTGGTCGACTTGATATGCGCGTTGGTAAAATTATTGAAGTGGGTCGTCATCCTGATGCGGATAGTTTATATTTGGAAAAAATTGACTGCGGAGAACCGCAGCCACGGACAGTTGTCTCTGGCTTGGTCAAGTTTGTGCCTTTAGAAGAAATGCAGAACCGCTTAGTGGTTGTACTATGTAATTTAAAACCGGCAAAAATGCGTGGAGTAACATCTGAAGCCATGGTTATGTGTGCATCAACACCTGACAAGGTTGAAGTACTAAGTCCACCTGCGGGCGCAGTTCCCGGGGATTTAGTACATTGTGAGGGCTACACACGCCAACCTGATACGCAACTTAATCCAAAAAAGAAAATATTCGAAACCTGCGCACCAGATTTAAGAACCAATGATCAGCTGATAGCATGCTATAAGGGTGCAGCTCTTCATGTGCCCGGCAAAGGAAATATTATTGCACAAACTCTGAAGAATGCAAATGTAAAGTAAATGTTTATACATACATTTTCTTCGAAGGAGGTAGTTTTCTTTTTGTAGTTAATAAAGCCATCATTTGTTAACTCAATGCAAATTACATATATCTACAAAGGTTTTATTTACTCAAGATTTCAGAAATTTACGTAAGTCGAATAAATAGGCGAAGGAAGAAACAATAAACGCAATGATAACACTATAGATGAGAAAAAATACTATACAAAAACCTCTAAAGGTATCTAGTTTGAAGCAGTCCAAAAACTCGATGCCATTTCATTGCTGCAGGGGTGGGCGTCGAAGTATGGGGTTCGGATTCGCCTCCACTACTATCGTTTTGGTCACTATGTCATATGCCGTACGATTATTTTTAAAGAAAATCATAATAAAACACATTGGGAAAAATAGGGTCATTATCAAATTTTTGCATACCGCGCGCAAAAAAGCGCGCTGGAATGTTGGCACTTCAGCTGGAAATATAAGTGCGCTAATTGGCACACGTTGAGCTTGGAAGCCCTGAAATTGTCTGGCTAATGGCGGCAGAGGTGGTTGCATGTCCGCTGGCGGTTGTAATGGATAAACCGCTTCAACATACTGAATACGCAATTTCATAGCAGCTTTTCCTGGTGTAGCGCCATTGTAGGCCGCTGTCCATATGGCCTCATAAAAACAAACTAGTATTTTTGTTAGGAGCTCAAGCATCAGAAGATCGGAAGAAAACGCTAGAAAATCCATGGATACTGTTAAAAATCCGGCGTAGTCATCATCTTCAATGGCCTTGCGCAGAGATTCTTTGTCAAGGTCAAAGCCCAAGTCCATATCAAATAAATTCATTATCGTAAATGTCACCACAATTTTTAGCACCAACAATATCATCATATCGATTATTTCTGCAACAACACGTTTCCAGAAGGGTGCAATAATATACTCGTAACCGCCTGTTCGCTGAATAAGTTCAGCTTGTACCTGATCGCTCAGAATACGGTACTGAAATAAAACTCGTCCGCGCCCACCAAGAACGTTGGCATCGGCAGCATTCAAATTTGTTGCAACACCGCCAGGTGGTATTACGCCTCCAAAGGGCATGCCTTGCTGAGTTTGGAATAATTGCGGGTAGCTATTTAATAAATACCAGGGAAAAAGGGCCATGGCATTCTGTGAGATATTGGCTTGTTTAACCTGAAAGGCAAATGAGAAAATTTCAGAAATACATATTTAATGATAAGTCAATATGTTCTAACTGAGCTAAAGACTAACCCATTCGTTGAGACTAGCAAAATATGCCTCCTTAGTAGTTAGTTCCCGTCCAGAACCGTTTTCTGCTGCTTTGGTTGTAAACGCTTCTTTCTCTTTTTCAGCATCCAGCTGCTGACCTCCCAATACGGGCGTTGAAGCCCTATTCCCAGAGTCCACTTTCGCATCTTTACTATCCTTTGCTTTATCTACTGATGACATTATTTTCTTACGCTGTCTTTGTTATGCACTACCTTGATTGCGTATTCTGTATTTAGCACAAAATGTAAGAAAATTGTTTTGATTTGTTTTTGGAATTCAATATGGACACGACACAGGTTTTAATTTTTTAGCAGGCATCAGCTGTTGGCAACTAACAATTCACAATTGTGTGTTAGATCATTTGGGCTGGATTGGAACTGAAGTAAAGTCGGCGAACCCGTTGCATTTGATATTCGGTATTACTGCTTAATTTATCTTTTAGTTCAGTTACAAAAAAAAGTGCACAAAGCATGTAAAGATCAAAACATATGCTACTTTGGTAGCTATTCAAATCCAGTGATAGCATTTCGTAAACTATACGGAAAATCGGACTACGATGTATTCAGCAATATCCCCCAATGAGATTTATGTGTTATATGTTATACAAATCTAGCCTATATGTACATAAGTACTCGTACAAACATACATACATACACTTTATTAATAATAAAATGAATTGAATACGACCCATAGCACCTACAATATCAAGTACATATTTGAGATCGATTTTAAGCGATCGTTTTCCGCTGAGTCCGACCCTCGAGTCTTTGATATGATACCTACCGACGAAGTTGTTATCGATACTAGGATGTATAGAAACTTTGCCAAAAAACCTGTACTATAAACTAGAGTCCGACCGATTCCAATTTTTCTTCAGGTACCGATGCCGATGCCGATTAATCGTTTTTTGTTTTGTTTTGTACTAAAATATACTCTTTTGCACTCAATGCATTAGAAATTATATGCTAGGTTTGTATGCATGTATGCACATACATATTTTGACCTGATTTGGCATTTGGCATTTGTCTTTTGTTTATTTAATGTTTATTATTTTTTTATAAAAGTCTAGCTGGTATACAACAAACACCATATACATAAATCCAGATTTTAAAATTTGTACAAAAAATAAAAAAAAATTCTGCTTGTTTTCACCAAAATTTCAAACCTTTTAATCAGAATTTTGGTATGCAGTTTTGTAGACTATTTAATTCTAGTATATTGACATGCAAGTTTCAAGTTGCTATAAGATCCCGTTAATTTTTGTCAATTTTTTTTTTTGCTGCCAATGTCCTCCATATAAAAGGAAATTGTCGAACATTCGAACATAATTTTGTATGGAAAAAACGTGAAACACCATCAAAAAAAAAAGAATCCATTTTTGTGAGCTGTCTGCAAATGTTTTTTGATGTTGCCCTGCAAAAATCGCGACTACTCCATGCATACGTGTAAAGAGTACGCCCTAAGGACCAAGGAATACTCCAAAATTAACCACAATTCATATAAAAAATATGGTCCAATTAACATTGCGATGTCCTAGGGCAGGACCATATACTCCATCCCTGCATTACATCAGAGTAGCACAAAACTACTCCAACATATTAACAATGGCATTGTTGTTATATTTTTTCGTTTGTACACGCTTTTGTTCTTCACTTCTCATATGCTTTTTCGAAATTAATAAAAACCAAGACAAAAATTAAAAATTACATGTTGCCTCTGACGGCATTTGAGCCCGAACATGCTGGGAGCTCACAACTAACAGCGAGCATCTCTACACGTTCAGCTACAGCCAGACATGCAAATGTGCTTTCAAATGCTCAACTTCAATCACATTTCGTTAAAACACGAGCAGTTATCGGGTAACAAACAATAAGCTGGCGCAGAGTCACGAGTTGGTCCTCTACAGCATGACAGAGGAACACTTTTGTAAGTACTCCAATATACCACAAATGGACTACATGGTCCAACGATTTTTGCAGGGTGGCAGTTGTCTGTCGCTTCAACTGAACATATGAAAAGAAAATCCAAAGAATCGGCGAAAAAAGGCCGATGCCGATGCCGATGCTTAATTTTGTGCCGATACTAGCCGATGCTGATGCCGATTAATCGGTCGGACTCTACTATAAACGTTTGGTTGTAAACTAGGGCTGCCAGATATCTCTGTTGCCAAACCGGGACAATTTAGGGAGGGCCTCTCGCTCCCTTCTATTTCATTTCGACGTGCGAAAGGATGTGGGGAGATTTTATTTCGACAGACAAAAACAAAAACATAAAAACATGAGATCATGAGGTCATTACAACGCACGCCAACAAAACAAAACAACTTATCACAACTAAAGCACAGAGAATTTTTTACAATGCATGAACCTTTTTTATTCTTTATAAAAATACAGTTTATACTAAATATATGAAAAAACATTAAAATTGGTAAACTTTGTGCTAAACTCGGGAAAATTCAATAAATTTGCATACAAATTTGCAACATTCTAATCAGACTTTTTATAAAAATGTTTAAAATGAAGTTTTGTAGCCCATTAAATTTTAGTTGATTTTTGGTATTGTTTTTACTGAGTTTCTTCCATACAAACTATGTTTGATAATTCTTTTTATATGGAAGACACTGTCAGCAAAAAAAAAATAAATACTAAAAATTAGGGATGTGCCGGATATAGATTTTGCCGGATAACCGGATTCCGGATATCCTGTAAAAATAACAACCGGAATCGGATATCCGATCGGATATCCGGTAGACTGCTGCCCTTAATAAATTTCACAATATTGTTTTTTGCCGGCTCGAGTTCACCTCGACCTCCGCACCGTTTCTGATGCTACAGAATTTACCACTTCGAAAACACAATTACGCACACATCTGTGCGATGCTATCGCAGTGAAAAATGGCATCTTATAAACAAACAAAAAACAATCTTCATCAAATTCTTTGCTTTTGAACAATCAAGATGTTTTATTTTCTTACGTTAATTTTTGTTATACAGAACCCGCCTATTAACCTTTTTCGTTTCCGAACGCGTAGGTCTGCAATTTCGGCACGACGAAATGAAGAGCTATGAATGTTCCAATAAATAGTTGCGGCATTGTTGTAATTTTTTCAGATTCGCACCGTCAGAATCGCACATGTGTGTTGATGCCTTATATGGACCTTACATGGTCACATTGTTTGATCAAACTGTCTTCTGTGTAATTAGATGGTTTAACTTACACACTTCAAAAAACCCATCAAATTTCAGTTTTTCGTTTTGGATGAAGTTGAAGAGAAGCTTAAGAAACCCTTGTATTCATTTGTTAATACTAATACTAAGTCGTATACTTTTTCCTTGTTCAACTATGTGTTTTTATTTAAATTGTTGTGTAAAAAATTGTTTAATTTGAACTTTGACCCTTAATAACTTTTGTAATTGTTGTTACCGCAAAAAAATAAATATACCGTTATACTCACCGCAATTATCTCTATCGATCCCCGTATGTTTTTTTTTTTTTATACCCGAGCGCACTTGTGCACAAGGGTATTATAACTTTGTTCACATAACGGTTGTTTGTAACAGGCAAAACGAATCGAGATAGATATAGACAAATGTATACATAAATGATCAGAATGAAAAGAGAAATCGATTAAGCGGTGACTGTCTGTCCGTCCGTCCGTCCGTCCGTCTGTCCGTCTGTGCACACGATAAGTCGAGTAAAAATTGAGATATCGTAACGAAACTTGGTACGTGGACTTCTTTTGGGCATAGGACGGATGGTATTGAAAATGGGCGAAATCGGACAATAACCACGCCTACCTCCCATATAACGGTAATTTTCAGAAATACGAAAAGTGCGATATTTTAGTAACTACTGAAGATAATTCACTCAAAATTGATATTTACAATGAGTTTTAGACGAAAAATAAGAATATTAAAAAATTTTGGCAAATGGGCGTAGCCACGCCTACTTATGGTTACATGTGTATATCTTGGTAACCGCTGCACCAATTTCTTCCAAACTTGGCACAGTTGTTGGCCCTGCTACAGCATACCACATCGCCGAAAATTTTTAAAATCGGACAATAACCACGCCCACATCCCATATAACGGTAATTTAGAAAAATACGAAATCCTCGATAAATCAGTAAATATTAAAGCTAATTTATTCAAAATTGATGGTTGCAACAATTTTTTACCAAGAAATACGTTTATGATACAATTTTGGAAAATGGGCGTGGCACCGCCCACTTATGATCACATATATGTATCTCGCTAACCGTTCTAGCAATTTGAACCAAACTCGGTATGGTTATTGTGCTTGCCACATAAAAGCAAAGCGTTGAAAATTATTGAAATCGGACTAAAATTACGACCGCTTTTCATATAACGGTATATTTCAGAAATGCTTGAACCTGCAATATTTCGAAATTTAAGGACGCTAATTTACTTAAAATTTATACACCCCGGCTTATCGTGTAGCGGTAGCTTTCGGAAAGGTGGAAAACATATATTTAATAATTGCGCCGGGTATTTAATGTTCGGCTCCGCCCGAACTTAGACTTTCTTACTTGTTTTAATTTGAGAATCGGAGCTATTCTGCATTTATGACCAAATTTTGCTCAACTTCTGTATATTTGACAGAAATGCAACTCTGAGAAATTACGCACGCAAATTGATTTCGGTTAATCAAATGTGAAAAACTTGCGTGCGTGCGTAGAAGGACTCACGCCGGTAATATTAGGTTGAGCTGTTAGAAACTCAATACACGTCACACATATAGTACATACAAAATTTCACTAAACCCTTTACTATTGCAACATTTTGTGACCCACGTTTCAAAACTCGGGTTTTTTCTGACGCCAATAAAGTTAAAAACTGGGTTGTTGATGAACTAATTCGAAATTATAAATCAGTTAGCATGGAGAAACCAGTTGAATCATATGAAAAATGTCAAACTATAGTGAAAGCTTCCATCGAAGATCGAGCTCACGAGGATATTTGGCAATGCTTTGAGATAATCGCCAACGGCTCTGATGCTGATTCTAGTGTTTCTAGTGATATGGATAGCCAAACGATTGGTAGACAAGGCAGCGAACGTACAAGAAAAAAGGCAGCGATTTATGAACTAGAAATAGAGAAATATTTGCAGCTACCTCTTATATCCAGACAAGAAGATCCCTTAACTTGGTGGAAGTATACCGCAAAGAATTTCCAAATTTGTTTACACTGGCAATGAAGTATCTCTGCGCGCCGCCTTCCTCAGTGAACTCGGAAAGAGTATTTAGAGCATCGAGTAACATTTATGTTGAAAATCGAAATAGGTTGTTGCCCGATAATGCGGAAATTCTTCTTTTCATAATGAAAAATATACAAATTGTTAACATTGATTGAATCTTCTATAATCGATATCCGGAATCCGGCCGGATATTAGCCAGTATCCGGCCGGATAACCGGATAACCAAAAAACGGCCGGATAGGCCGGATTCCGGATATCTACCGGATACCCGGCACATCCCTACTAAAAATCAACGAAATTTGCTGGCAACTTCAGACTTGCACTTTATTAATTGGCTCAAAAGCTACATTTTAAAAATTTGTCTATAAGATCTGATTAAAGAGCCTCC